GACGGAGACAGGCACTCGGTTTGTGTCCGTGCTCAGCCTGAGGCACCAGCGGACGGCAGGTGGGGGTGTGGGGGCAGGTGGGGGATGAGATGGACGTCAGTGGAGAGCTCGGGGCTGGAACACAAGACTGAGACGAGTCGCCATGGAGACAAGAGGAAAAGCCAGGGGACTAGGAGGCGTTGCTGAGGGAACGGGGCGGAGAGAGAGGAGGTCTGAGCACTAAACCCCGGGTCAGTCCATTGCTGAGAGGCAGAAACATGAGAAGGCGCTGCTTTGTCGGAGAGTCCGAGAGGCCGGGGTTCCGAGGGGAAGGGAGACCCCGCTTTGAGGTGGAGGGGGGACCGGCTGTGCGGGTCGGTGCTGAAGGGAAGGAGCCGTCCGCGAACCGCGTCTCTCCCGTCGTCATCAGGACGCTCTGGCCCAGGGTGGGGACCTTCTTTCTGCCAAGAGCCATGGGATTGATGACATCGTTTGTGGCCACACCACATGCCCCCCAGCTGCTCTGCTTGGTCACCAGTTACCTCACCTAATGTCAGGGCAGGGCCAGACCCCGCGATGTCCTGGCCTCCTGTGGCCCCGGCCAGGCGTTCCCCACCCTGCTGAGTGCTGTCTCCTCACTCAGCACCACCCACCTCGGCCTCACGGTGCTTTTGTCATGTCCAAACCCTCGCATTTGGGTGAAACTTAAGAAAGTGCCAAGTTATAACCACGAGGAAGAAAGGAGGGAGGGCACGTAACAGTGACATCGGCCTGAGAGAGCAATGGGAGCCCCACGGGATCTACGATGCGACAAGCAGGGCTATCCACGCATGTGCATCACGGGCCACGTCTGAAGTCCCTGGAATGCCAGGGCGACGTTTGCTCGGCGACGTCTGGACAACGCGACCTCGACTTTCTGACTGCGTAGTCACCTGAATGCAGTCCCTCCCAGGCACAGATGACAAAGGGCCCGTGCTCCCTAACTGGGAAGAGCAGAGTGGTTTCAGCTGGACTCTATTTAAATCTCGCCCGAGGGCGTGCGTATTGGTTTCAGAAAGGAGAGGGAGGGAGGGGGAGAGAAACACTAACCACTGCCTTCCCCACGGGCCCTGACCTGGATCCAACCTGCAGCCCAGGCAGGCGCCCTGGCGGCACTCGCACCCGCCACCTTCGGGTGCAGGACGATGCCCCAAACAACGGAGCCACCAGCCAGGGCCCCCGGGACTTGTTTTCGCTTAACAGCATCCATGACAATGCTCAGTGTAAGCAAGATGCTCCTCACCTTAGAAGAGCAACAGTCCAAGTAGTGAACCTAAAGATCCGTTATCAATTCTTTACTTTAGAAAAGCTCACCTGGCACAAAAAACTCTGTTGGCGTAAACCAGTGAAATTCCAAGTGAAACCCCAAGCGAGCAGCCTTCAAGGTGACGAGGAAAGTCAGGTAGACGATGGACACCGTGCCTGCGAGGGAGACAGCAGAACCACTCAGCATCCTTTCACGTCTGCAGGTGTTTCATCCGGATTCTCGGCAAAGACGGGACATCACCGTCGCCGAGTCCCATCACGCCGGGTGGGAGCTAAGGCAGGAGCGGGCGTGGCGAGTTAGCAGACAGAGCGAAAGCGATGCAGGAGGCCCAGGAGAACCCGAGGAAGGGCCTGACATCGCTGATCGCCCGCTGCCCGGCGCCCACTGTCCGGCGCACGCCTGAGCTGAGCTTAGTGGAGGCCACAGACTCCATCACAAAACTGCCAGGTGACACAGGAGGACAGACAGCAGAAAAGGGACTCGTTCTTTGTGCTGGAAGGTTCGGGCAGCGACTGGCTGGGAACGTCAGTCACAACATCCCGTGCAAGGCGAGGGGCCGAGAGCCCGGGGCACTGCTGGGCCTGGGGGAGGCTGTGATGGGAGCTGCTTGCTGGGGGGGCTGGGCCATCCACCGCATCAGACACAGGGGCGGGGCTTCCAACGTCTCAGCCTGGGAGCCGGAGAGTCGCTCCCGGTAAGGAATTAGGTCCAGTCACAATGGAGTTGAGTCCAGGAGGTTTCTAGGGAAATCAGGTGCTAATTTCTCTCAAAAAGTAGCTTTAAAAGAAAAGTACCAAGAAAAATGGCAGAGGCAGGCTGTCCTTAAGGAGGCGGAAAGGATCAGCCTGGTGAGAAGGCTGGCAGCTGCTCTGCCCAGCTGAGCGCCTTCTCCTCTAAGCTCACTGCTCACCGTCAAAGACCTGGTCCTCGGAAGTCGGTGGGCGAGTCAGGAAACCAGACGAGCCCCTAAGGCCACTGTGGGCTTGGAGGGGGGCTGCCAGGGAGGCTGCAGACACGAGGCCCCAGCTGGCAGGACAAGACTGTTCATTTTCTGGGTCTGAGCATGCGTCCTGCTGAGGCCGAGAGGTCAGAGGGACAGCCTTCCCCCGTCCGTCCGTCTGCTGGGAACCCGAGAGCCACCGGCTCAGCATGATGAGAGTCTAAGGCGTTTATACTCCAGGCTGCCTACCGGGGTCGGACCTACAGGGAGGTGAGAGGCTATGCTCTCGCTAGTCACCACCTCCTTATGATGGCGCCCTTGTCTAGTTAACCAGCTCAGAGCTGGCACCGGGTGCCTGTGTCACCTGAAGGCTGTAAGGGAAGACTCGGGCAGATTGCATTCGGTGATTTCAGAAGCGCATGCGAGACAGGCGCCCAGGGGGAAGGCTGCCCCTCTAGGAGGCGAAAGTGTTCCAGGAAGAAAGAGCGCCAGGAAGCGCCAAGGCAGACAGACCTGAGGAGTGAGCAGAGATGACACCAGGTGGAAAGTCAGGTGACGAGTCTGCGCTACACTCTTAACGAGGAACGTGGAGAGCCACTCCATGTCCTGCCAGCCTTTGGAACTGAGGCCTCCCCCTGCCCCCCGAAACTCGTCTACCTCCCCCCTGCCCCCCCCACACACAGAGGGAGCGGGGAAGCGCTGCTCAGGGAGGGCAGTGGAGGGCCAGCGACTTGCCTTGGGAGGGACCTGGATTTGAAACCGTCATCATCGTTTCCTCTGTGCCAGTCCGTAACAACAGCCCAAGCCCCAGCCAGTGTGGCTCCGTGGCTGGAAGGTCGGCCCTCGGACTGAAGGGTCCCGGGTTCGATTCCACTCAAGGGCATGTACCTTGGTTGCAGGCTTGATGCCCAGCCCCAGTGGGAGGTGTGTGCAGGAGGCAACCAGTTGATGTGTCTCTCTCACATCAATGTTTCTCTCTGTCTTTCCCTCTCTCTTCCCCTCTCTCTAAAAATCAATGGGAACATATCCTGGGGTGAGTGAGGATCAACAAAAAACCAAACAAAACAAAAAGCAAGCCCCAGAGCAGGGAAGAGAGGATCAGCCGGCTGCAGCCCCCC